AAAAAAAAAAAAAAAAAAAAAAAAAAAAAAAAAAAAAAAAAAAAAAAAAAAAAAAAAAAAAAAAAAAAAAAAAAAAACTCACGTAGATTTCTCCAGGAAGGAAACGTTTCAAGGCAACAAACAAGGGAAAGAAAGAAAAATGAAACAAAGGGTATTACAACGGCAACCAAGAGGAATAAAAAATATACGGCCATCTTTATGAGAACAAGAATCTCTCATTTCACAACCACGAATAGCAACAGTTTTGAATGGAGAATGCATGAAATGCAATTCTCTTACACAGCCTCATGAGCACTGAACCCTTTGGTTATACTTTACTCAACCTCCTCATGCTTACGAAGACTAAGTCAAGTGCCAATTAAGTGTACACAATCAATGTACGATGCCTCTAGACTCTAAAATTAGGCTCCTAGTCGGTCATTCTGATTTCCTTGGTACCAGAATTGTAACATTACACAAAATGAAGAATGAGAAACAAAGTATGCGAGAGATGAATGCGCAATCCACATAACGTTTCCAAATATAATCTTATCACAATTCTCAAGCTTGTACCTGGTCTATGAAATTAAGAGCTCGATATTTTGAGATGGAAAGGGGCGAGAAGTGTTATGAAGCTCCCTTTCCATTTAAAATCAAGTTCTTTATGTTGATGTTATTATAGCACCCACAAGCTCGATTAATTTCGCTTAGAGACACAGATCCAATTAACCAAGTGCAATTATTGTCCCTCCACCGTACCGCTAGGGATTAGTCATGTGATGGCTTCCAAATTTAAATTTATACTTTTTTTTTTCCTTTTCAGGCAGGAGGTTCTGGTTAATTAACCATCCCCAACCATGCAGCTCATGGAAACATGACCCTCAAAATAAGTAGGAAGTATGGAGCTTCTTAACATGAAGATGGCAAGCAATAAATCAAGCTTTGCTGCTTTTGAAGTTTCATAAGAAATATCAGTTCATATTTTTGAGTGAGTATGGGTAATTTTATCCGAGATGTTTAGAAGAAAAAGAAAAATGCATGAAATTCCATGATAAAGAATGGAGAATATCTAGATACCAGGATTAGTATAATACCACAATAACGTGAATCTGCAAGAAGACCAACAAAGGAGATATAGTTATCTGGCGTCTTTGTCCATCCCTCTTGCTCCTCTATAAGTGAATATGCAATCTGAATCAAGTAATACAATTGAAAATTAAAACAGGAAGGTCCAAATAACTCAGCCTTCCTCCATATTGCAGCTTACACATACAAACACTTGGCTCCAAAGTAATTACAAGGTAGCTCAAACTTAAAATGAATTGTTCAGATCATTCTTTTAAATCAAGAAAATCATACTCTTTATTGGCATTTATGTCACAAGATAACCACTCTCTCTCTCTCTCTCTCTCTTTTTCTTTTTGAAGACATGCAGACTTTCAACCTTAAAAATTATCAGATAGCAGATTTCAATCAGTTAATAATCCATAGTAAGTTAAGATTAGAGTTCATTGAGAGAAAATTTACATAAACCTTTAAAATGAGTACGTAGAATTATAAATTTATAAAAATACTGGCAGACTGTAAATTCAAATCGTACAAGTGCAAAGTAGATGTGAAAAATTAACATCATGAAAACTTCTAGGAACTTAAATAAGAAATAATGGAACAACGATCAGTGGAATAGTAGAATCCATCTTCCTGATATGATAGTTTCATTTTCTATCCAAGAAAACATAGAAGAAGAAAAGCACAAAAAATATTCTTATGTTCTAGTAACATGAAATTGGCACACTAAGTGGCTAAGCACTCTAAAATAAGATAAAATATAATGCATGAGAAAAGGGTGTAAACAAGTAAAGAGTGTCAGGCTTCTCACAATTGATAATCACCTGTGTATCAATAACGTTGTTCAACTTAATACCAAACTGAAAGTACAATGCCTACAGGGAAAAAAATAGAGTCAACATTAGCTAAAACATGTCATGTCTCTGTGACGGCAATCTGTAACGGAAACAAAGTTCAGACGAGACCTCACTATCTCGTTTACAATCATGAATAACTTTCGTGACATATGTGGACTCAAGGGCAGGCTTACAGACT